TATGGAACCTATAGAGGTACCCGTAGACGCGCGGATGGTTGTCGCAGGCTACGCGTAGCCATAGGATGGACAGGTCCAAACCTTCAAGACTGCCAAGGAGTCGAGAATAGATGTCCTCTCTAACATTCACGCAAACTCAAGCCCGAGGCACAATAGAGTGCTCCAATTTTTACCCCGGGTAGGAGAGATACGAAATATCAGCCGGAGACGAAACCTGCGTCTCGGTTAGAAAGAGCAAGGCCGGCTTCGCCGTCTCGAGATGGTAGTGGACGGCGTTTAGATTCGAGTGAAGTCCCCAGATGTTGCAGAAATTCACGGATAGCGTGGCAGGGTCGCCTTGGTCTTGTTGAGCAGTTTGCCCGGAGAAGTTATCTTTTTGAGCGGAATTCCCCCCCCCCCCCCCCCACCGCTCAGTATACGCGGCGCAGCCTGAGCACCCACGCTCAGGAGTGGAATAACATGGTCGTAGATGCTCAGCGAGGGATTCTCCAGGGGTGCTGGTACCCTCCTAGGGTAGTCTAACGTGTGATTCCGCTACCATGTTGATGGGGGGGAATTGGGCCTCCGGCCACCTGCACTCACCGGACGAAACGCAGAAGCAGAGCTTCTACTTCACGCCGGTATTCTGTCAGGTCGTGGTACCAACCCAGCTCGAGCCGGCCCATACGTGCAACAGCAAAAACTGCTGCGTGGCTCTACCACCGTTAAAACCGCCTACATCAGAAGTGGGATAAAGCTATCGCCCACATCAATATATAAGACAATGGCCTACATATGATCTTCGAATAATGTGATGAAGGCGTGGTGCTATGCGGATCGCTTTTGAATGGAAGTATGTTGTCAGCGTGGGACGCCACAGGCGGATGATTTAACGATGCTGCCGGCCGACATTTTATGCGTGAGGGAAGTAAATTTGTCTTAAATATTGGTTTGAATATTTTGTAGTAACAAGTGGTTAACTTTATAATTGGATGATAGAAATGCCTGACAGCCAAGCTTATTTCAACTGACTAAACCGAGTCTATGTAGGTGTTTTTAAAGACCCTGTTTAAATGTGGAGTTGCTTACTTCATTTTATTTTGTGTTATGACTATGTCAAAAGCCATACCGTAGCCGTAGCTCAAAGAGTGTGTACGGTGTTGAGTCGTCATTGAAATTTAAGAGGGATGACTGAAAATAGAGAAGAGTGCACTTAAAAATAAAATTAAGTGTATTATAAATTTGTTATAATTTGTTTCCTTACGGAACGATTGAGAAGGTTATGGCTCTTGGAAATTTTATTTTTGTCATGTAGTTTCCTTTGATTTGATCTAGTTGAAGTAGAATTATGTAAAACAGAAGCTGCCGGAGGTATTTTCAAATGTTCATACTCTTATCACTTGTTATTACTATTTGGTCGAATTGCACGAATTGGTGCGTTGTTGTAACTACGATTTACTTGTGAGTCATTCGGGAGCGATGAACATCTGATGGTGTGGTGGAAGGCCTATGTCTCGTAGAGACTACTGTTGGTTGACTTTGAACGAACTGATAGTCCTTGTTTCTACAGTAGATCGTATCACTGGAACTGATGAAGATATGGTAACAGTTTTTTGCTCATCGTTGCGGCATTGTGATCACTGTTTGTAGTCAAAGAGATAAATTATTTCTCTGTGCCTTATACATACACTATACATCATAAATTTTTTTCGGAAAACTTGGCGGGAAGTGACCAAAAGTGTCATTTTTCCGTAATTAATACTATATACGATGATATGCCGGACGTCAGTCTAAGCGAGATTAAAATGGCTCTCTAGCACCTTAAGATTGGCAAGGCCCCAAGGCGAGGATGGAATTACAGCGAAGCTTATGAAAGCGGGTGGATAATAGATACTTGAAGTCCTTCAGAAGCTCTTTGATTCCGTCCTCCATGGTGGCAATACACTAGAGGCGTGGAGCAGAAGTGTGGTGGTCTTGTACTTCAAGAATGGCGACAACGCTCTCTTGAAAAACAACAGACCGACATCCTTTCTGAGCCGCGTACGTGCTGTTTTAGAAAGTCATTACGAATCGTCTCGCATACAGACTCGAAGACTTTCAACCTCCCGAACAAGCCGGTTTCCGAAGAGCACCGTAGATCACATACATAGCCTTCGGCAAATTGTACATAAGTCCGAGGAGTACAATTTGCCACTATGTCTGGCGTTTGTGGACTATGAGAAGTCCTTGGATTTCGTCGAAATTTGGGCGGTGCTGGAGTCTCTCCAGCGCTGCCAAGTTGACTGTCGGTATATCAAAGTGCTGAAGTGTATGTACAGTAGGGCTACGATGCCATCCGAGTACAGAAACAGAGTACAAAACCTATTTAACTGCTGAGAGGTGTAAGACAGGGTGATGTTATACCCGCGAAACTCTTCACCGCTGCATTGGAAGACGTTTTCAAGCTTCTGGACTGCAAAGGATTAACATAAACGGCGAGTACTTCACTCACCTTCGGTTTGCCGACGATGTAGTCCTTATGGCAAAATAGCTGAAAGACCGATGCACTACGCTCAATGACCTCAATGGTGCCTCCTAACGGATAGGTCTAAAGATGAACATGGACAAAGCAAAGATCGTGGGTAATGTTTATTTTACACCTATGCCGGTATTTGTGGAGGAGTTTGTTTACCGGGGGCATTTGTCCCAGGTAAACATACACCGACAAGGTAAAACCAACTTCGATCAAGAGGTCAATGGACGGATTAGACACGGATGGGCAGCGTTCGGGAAATTATGGCATATCTTCTCGTCAGGTATACAGAGTTAGAGAGTACAAAGTTGTACAGAGTACATATAATAGTATCGTCTGGGCCAAATCTGAGCGGCTGATCGTTGGAAAATGTTAGTGTACAACTGTATGTGGTGGTTTGAGAAAAAAGTGCCGTCCTGTCCATGCGTGGTCGAAGAGACGTTCGCTTTCGCTTATTGTATGATTGAGGATGTTAGTATATTTATAAGAGGGTATGTTATCTTTGTTGTTAAGTGTATATCTTCTACCGATGCTAATAGTGCCGTGCAGGATGTATAAAGAGATATGTGTCTGTGTGTGCTTAGTGGTAAGAGAAAGTTGTCCGGTCTATGTTGTCATATGGGATGATAGTTGGTCAAAAGGACGCCTTAGCTGGTGTTAGTTTGCATGTGGTTGCAACGTAATTGCCTTTATGAATGTCCAAATATAGGGACAGGGTACCGATTCATGTCAAGATAGACGAACGGAAGAAGTACTGTTGTATATTTTAACCACCCACATCACAATTGTATATTTTAATGTAATGTAAATAAATACTTTTTTAAATTTAATGTTTAAAAGTTTTTATAATACTCGAAGATTTTCTTTCACTTCCATAACGATTCGATCATGGTCCTAATTGAAAGTATCACAAAAAACTCTCTGGCTCTATATAAATTGCTTCCGATTCCATTAAATGAAAGCCATTACTTACATCTGCCCGGCTTATTCAAGCAATAGCCTTTTTAAATGCACTGGGTTTTTTATTACTAGCTGTTTATCAGTTGATTTAAATGTATTGTTTAAGTTTTTAGTTTTATATATTGTCACTTGTATTTTATGAATGAAATTCCATTGACGCTATTTACATTATTAATAGTCCGTTGAACCACTCCAAGTAAGAAGCATACTTCGATCACCATTGTAAACTACTTTTAACATAAGCATAAAATGCTTGTGTTAAGAGTAGTTTACAATGGTGATCGAATGTCGATTTTGAACCCACGACTTTGTTCTTTGTTGTTTATTTATTTATTTATTTAAAACTTCATATACACATATACCACATGTGTATATGAAGGACACACATAGGCGGACTTAATGCCTAAGGCATTCTCTACCAGTCTACCTTGGGATGATGCAGAGATATAATGAAGTAGGAGTAATAAAAAGGTAATATGTTAATACTAAACTAAAATAACAAAAAAAAAATTGTAGCACATCTGTAGTGTTTGTATCTATTTAATAGATTCAATACACTGTCTCATATACACAAGTAGTGGGGGTAGCACGTTACTCGGTGGTTGCACGGAGTTGCGGCGGGGAGTTGCGTTGTGGAGCGCACCGAGGTAGGACGTGTACCTAGGGAGACTTGGTGTGATAGTGAGCCAGTGATACGTATTGTGAATATTATACTATATAAGTTCTACAAGTGGCGACGAGGAGAAAAACGGTAAGTAAAAAATAATAACCCCTTGTTTTCTAAAAACCAACATTGAGTTTATGTTACTTAAAATGAGCTAAATACATAGTGTACAGTCAATGGTAAATATTTCATATATAAATATAAAGTATGACTAAACAGTTATGTAGAACTAAAGAATATTTTTAATATTTTCTACCAAAAAAGAGTGAACGAATAAAATATTCAATATTACTAAAAATTTCTTCTGGCTTTTACAACTTTTGAATCATATATTCATTTAAGCATAAATTAAAGCTGAGCTATGTAATTTTGTTTATTTAAGACTAAAATGGAAAGATTTATTATATATGAACTTGCAAAAATAATACTATTTAATTTGTGCCGAATTATAAACCATATTTTGAGTCTGTGAATTAAAATAGGGTACTTAGATCATAGAAAAAAAAAGTTTCCATTAAATTGGAAATATTGGTTTCCATTAAATTGGATATATAGGTTTCCATTAAATTAGAGATATTGGTTTCCATTAAATTGGAGATATTGGTTTCCATTAAATTGGAGATATTGAGTTCCATTAAATTGGAGATATTGGTTTCCATTAAATTGGAGATATTGGGTTCCATTAAATTGGAGATACTGGGTTCCATTAAATTGGAGATACTGGTTTCCATTAAATTGGAGATATTGGTTTCCATTAAATTGGATATATTGGTTTCCATTAAATTGGAGATATTGGTTTCCATTAAATTGGAGATATTGGTTTCCATTAAATTGGATATAGGATGCTTTAAACTGCATTTATTTTCAGGTTGCCAAGGATTCGAAATGTCAAATTTATTACCGTCACCGGAAAAATTAGAACTCGAGGGAGACAGCACGTCAGTAGGCTTGCGATGGGAGAAATGGAAAAGGTATTTAAAGATTTATCTCGAAGCAGCCGATATACAATGCCCAATAAAAAAGAGAGCAACTTTGTTATTGTTAGGCGGAACCGGGCTTCAGGATATATTTTACAACTTGCCAGATACCAGTGCAGTGCAGGAGGGAGTAGATAATTTTGAATTAGCCCTAAAACAGCTCGATAACTATTTCCTCCCTAAACAAAATAAAACTTATGAGAGACATATTTTTCGTTCGATTAAACAAGAAGACGGTGAAAATTTTGAAAAGTTTCTTTTAAAATTGAGAGATCAAGCTAAAAAATGCAAATTTGATAAGCCTGATGACTACATTATCGATCAAATAATAGAAAGATGTGCATCGGTAGAGCTCAGGAAAAAGATTTTAACGATGGGGGATGATGTGACATTAGACAAGGTAGTTATAGAAGCAAAAACATTAGAGGCAGTAAATCATCAACTAGAAAGCTATGAACGGAAAGAAAAGACCAGCGAGATAAATTCAGTCACGAGTAAGAGCAACGATACTTCGAAATGGGGAAACACTGAAATGAGATCAGGAAATTTTAAGTGTGGAAGATGCGGAAAAGCAACGCACAATATTCAGGACCCAAAATGTCCAGCCAAAGAAAAAAAATGTCACGGGTGTGGAAAAGTGGGACACTATCAAAGATGCTGTAAAACAAAGTTAAATAGATTTAAAAGGAAAATAGAACACGAGCAAGAAGAAGACATAAGAAATAATAGAAATAAAAGGCCCCGTAAGGACTCTTCAGTCAATACTTTAGAAGACAATGATTCTCAGTATATCTTTAATGTAAATGACGATGCAACCATAAAGTGTGATGTAGGTGGCGTCGAGTTTCATATGCTGATCGACTCAGGGTGTAAATCAAATTTAATAACGGATAAAGCATGGGAATATTTGAAAATACATAAAGTTAGTTGTAAAAATCAAACTAAGAAACCAAATAAAATATTACTAGCCTATGGCAGTAGTATACCTTTAGATGTAAAAGGTTCGTTCGAAACCGAAATTAAAACGAATGGAAAAACTGACCCCTGCTCTATTTATGTCATAAAAAACGGATCCAGGAATTTGTTAGGAAAGGATTCAGCGATACGATTAGGAGTTTTAAAAGTAGGCGTTAGTATTAACCACGTTGATCAGGAACTAAGCAAGCAGTTTCCAAAGTTTAAAGGTATTTTAGTGGAGATTCCGATAAATAAATCCATAAAACCGGTAATACAGCCCTATCGTAGAATACCTATTCCTATCGAGGAAAATATAAAAAGGAAGATAAAGGAGTTATTAGATGCCGATATTATTGAAGAAGTAGATGAACCATCTTTATGGGTATCGCCTATTGTACCAATATTAAAAGATAATGGAGATATACGTCTCTGTGTCGATATGAGGCGAGCTAATACAGCAATTCTCAGAGAAAATCACCCATTGCCTAGTATGGACCACTTGCTGCCGAAAATAAGAAAAGCAAAGTATTTTTCCAAACTAGATATAAAAAATGCTTTCCATCAAGTTGAGCTGCATCCTAACTCCAGATATTTAACAACTTTTGTAACTTCTAGTGGACTTTACAGATATAAAAGACTTATGTTTGGAGTTTCATGTGCACCAGAGCTGTTCCAAAAAATCTTGGAAAAAATGATAATCAAATGTGAAGGGGTAATCAATTTCATTGACGATATTTTAATATGGGGCAGCAGTGGAGAAGAACATGATTTGCGACTATCACAAGTATTGGATGTTTTAAATGAAAATAATGTCCTGCTCAATAAAGATAAATGCTTATATAAAGTGCAAAAGGTCAAATTTCTAGGACACGAATTAACACCAGAAGGGGTAACACCTCTACCTAAATATATCAAAAGCATACAAGAATTTAGAGTACCAAACACAATTGAAGAGTTACAAAGTTTTCTTGGATTAGTAAATTACATAAATAAATGGATTCCTAAACTAGCTACAATTAATGAACCGTTAAGAGAATTACTTAGGATAAAATTAGGAAAAAAGGCTAACATAGAAAAATACTGGACAAAGAAACAGGATCATGCGTTTAAGTGTCTCAAAGAGAGATTAACAAAAATAGAAACATTAGGATATTATGACGTCAAAGACAAGACCCAAGTTATAGCGGATGCAAGCCCTGTGGGATTAGGAGCTGTTTTGGTACAAATTGATGAAAGGGGCCCCAGAATCATTGGCTATGGAAATCGGACATTAACAGATTGTGAACGGAAATACAGCCAAACAGAGAAGGAAGCCCTTGCTCTTGTTTGGGCTGTCGAGCATTTTAACACGTTTCTTTTTGGGAAAGAATTCGATTTAATTACTGACCATAAGCCATTGGAATTCCTATTTAGTCCCAAGTCAAAGCCGTGTGCTCGCGTTGAAAGATGGGTTTTGAAATTACAGGCCTATAGATATAAGATAAAATATAAGCCAGGAAATACAAACATTGCAGATCCACTATCACGACTATGCAAAGAAACAAATGTACAACCTATACGGGACGACCATATATGTCAAATAGTACAATTAGCAAAACCGCATGCTATTTCTATGCGAGATATAATTTTACAATCTGGAAGTGACTTAGAAATAACAAACGTAAAAAATGGTCTCTATAAAAATCAGTGGGACGAGTCAGTCAAAACCTTTAAAATTTTTGAAGATGAACTTTGTTTTTATGACAACATCCTCTTGAGAGGAAATAAAATTGTAATTCCAAATAAATTAAGACAACAAGTTTTAGTAGCAGCCCACGAAGGTCACCCTGGAATCGTGTCTATGAAGGAACGTTTAAGAGCTAAAGTCTGGTGGCCAAAGATTGATAAAGATGTCGAAATGCTGGTGAAGAGTTGCAAAGGGTGCACTCTTGTGTGACTGCCAAATCTACCTGTACCCATGAAACGGCGGGAACTTCCAGCAGAACCGTGGGTTGATATCGCGATGGATTTATTGGGACCACTACCAACTAACGATTATCTTTTGGTAGTAATTGACTATTACAGCCGTTACAAAGAAATCAATATAACTAAAACCATCAACAGTGCACAAATTATAAAATATCTAAAAGAGATATTTAGTCGCCTTGGTTACCCAGTTTCGATTAGTGCGGATAATGGGCGGCAATTTATAAGTGAAGAATTTAAAAACTTCTGTGCTGAGTGTGATATTAAACTGTTAAATTCAATACCGTATTGGCCCCAGATGAATGGAGAAGTAGAGCGCCAAAATCGTGACATATTAAAACGACTTAGAATCAGTCAACTTGAAAAAAAAGACTTGAAGGAGACACTGTATGAATATCTGATGATGTATAACTCTACTCCACATTCAGTAACAGGGAAATCACCATCGGAACTTTTCTTTAATCGTCAAAATAGAGATAAAATACCTATGTTAAAAAATATGAATAGTAAAGAAGACTATTCAGAAATTAGGGATCGGGATAAACTACAAAAAGAAAAGGGTAAAGAATATGGAGACCGGAAGAGAAGAGCAAAAGATTCAGAATTTATAGAAGGAGATAAGGTTTATTTAAAAAACATGGAAAGAACAAACAAATTAACTGCAAATTTTAGCCCTACCCCGCACGTTGTGGAGAAATCGGTAGGTGGTGATATCACTGTGAGAAATGAAGAGACAGGACAAAGATTACGGAGAAACGTTATACATTTAAAGAATATAGAGGGAAGCTGGAACTCTATCCGGGACGAGACCACATCATCTTCGGGAGGTCTCGAAAGTAAAGATTATAACGAGGCAAATTAAGTTTAATTACTTATTGATTTTGTATTGATTCGAAAAATGAGTTAATAAATTTAAAAAATTACCTCGGTTTAAAACTGTATTTTATTTGATTAAAATTCATTCATAAGGAAGGGATGTAGTGTTTGTATCTATTTAATAGATTCAATACACTGTCTTATATACACAAGTAGTGGGGGTAGCACGTTACTCGGTGGTTGCACGGAGTTGCGGCGGGGAGTTGCGTTGTGGAGCGCACCGAGGTAGGACGTGTACCTAGGGAGACTTGGTGTGATAGTGAGCCAGTGATACGTATTGTGAATATTATACTATATAAGTTCTACAACATCGAAATAAAATACATAAGATAGAAATGTTAATAAAAATATAATATATATATAATATATAAAATATATATAACCTAACACTTCTGAGAACAACAGTACAAACAATAAAAAACTGCGTTTGCCAACCCGATTGCCAAGCGTGCTTACTATGGCAAATATCTCCCATATAAGGCAATCTATGGAGGAGGCCTAGGTCCAGCAGTGGAACTTTAAAAGCCGTAATTGGTAATTGTAAGGAGACTTAAATATGGATTTGGTTTACAATGTTATGTTTTGCAATACTCTTCGCATTTCATTTGAAAATAAAAATTACACTGAAGTAGAAAAGTCTAGAATAAAATAAATATAAAACTATTGTGGTAAATCAAATTGTGCATGTCTTAAGCACATTAAAAAAATTACGTATTACATGATCATACGTATTTTTTAAGCAGTTTAAATACACACAAGTTTTCACTAAAAACCTTATTATTATATTTCCAATTTTCCAATAATTTTATGTCCAATTTTAAATTTAAAAAAATATTGGTAAATCCTAAAGTGCACGACTCATGATGCTTATAAGACCATCATATCATCATTCAGTTCACTCCATAAAGTCTAAGACGTATTTAAGTATAATATATACTTAAATATATACATGCTACTTACTTTTAGTACATAGTACTACTATTTGTTCTGTGCTTTTAAAATATTGTAATATAAATGTCTGATTACTATAATAATCATTTATGTATGAAATTTGGTTTTTTGAATATTTTGTATTTGTACAGCGATCTTTTTGAGCCGCTGCGAACAACCGATACAGTATCCACTCATGGTGGATGGTGGTCTAGTGCCAGTCTGATTCATCACAGCTTCTTACCAAACGGGATGAACATATCTGGAGATGTGTACTGTGAAGAACACAATGAAGGGGAAGCTTGCTCTAAAATTACATTTTATGATCAGTGTTCGAAGTCAACTAGTAAGCAGTATTATACTTATATATTATATACACATATCATATGAAATATATTTACATATACATAAAATCTAAATAACGTGAACATGAAGGCATATTAACGTCAGAAGTGTGATAGCACTTTGATAACTTAGTCAGGTGTAGCTGCCCCTGCACTTGGTTACCATTGGTGGTTTTTATTAATTTCCAGCTCATGTTTTGTTGTTTTTCAAAAGGTCACTTTTCGTTTTTTTATTGCTTCTCCTAAACTCATTTTGGATACCATCACCGAGCATTTAATTTCTACTATAGTGTCGTGGCTACATAAGCCGTCCGAAGTGGCTCCCGAAAATGGCAACTAGCTAGCCACTCGCTGCATTCGCTTTGTAAAGGGGTTGTCCGTTCGATTAAATGTCTTTTCTCAGAAGTTTTATTTAAATTTTCCATAAAATTTTAATTAATTTTATTAAGAATGTCTATTGGCATATCTAGTTTCTTGCGATCTTGACCATAACTGTGGCCCCGTTTTGGTTTTTCTAAAAACAAGGTTCGACATCTTCGAATAGTTTTAGTAGATTTATAATATGTTTTTAGTAGGTATATTTGGTACATACCCGTTATCAACATAATTTTGTTGAGAATGTTCAGATGTTGTAGTTCCGTCATAAATATTTTGTCCTTTTCGACCCCAGCTATAAATAAATAGATTTAAAAATATATTGCATAGTTTTGTATACGCAATAATTTAAAATATACGATAATTACTAATATTATCACGATTATTGAAAAAATAATTACGAGACAGCTTACCGAATTTCGCACAATTTTGCTGCATTTGCATGTCTTTGTCTCAAAACTTTCTTGTATTTTGGCATTTTGTGTGCCGTATAAACAACAACAACAGTAGCGTCTTTTCGCAAAACTCAGTATTTCAAAAAGCTTCTTCGCGCAGTATAAACAACAAGTAGGTATATAACAAACACAAAAAACCACCACACACAAACAAATAATACTAAATAATAATAACTATACCTAACCTAACAAGTAATAATATTATCGACTGATGAGATGACGAGAACGAGCATGTGCGCTGGCCGCCGCGGTGACTCACTTCTGCAATGTAAATTTGCTGTGTCACTTTTTTATCTTCATTCCTTCTACATGACCAAACCACCGAAGCATTCCTTTCTTATTACTGGTCAAAATTTTTCTTAATACTCCTTAATGACCACATTCCTACAGCATTTATTCTACTCTCTTGCTTCTTCTGCCAGACCCAACTTTCACTAGCATACTTTGAAGTAGGGACTAACACAGCATTATTAGGTGCCTTTTTAGGGTTCCTTACCTAAAAGGAAAAAACGGAACCCTTATAGGATCACTTTGTTGTCCGTCTGTCTGTCTGTCTGTCTGTCTGGCAAGACCCGTTTTATCAGGAACGCGAGGAGGTATCAAGCTGAAATTTATATCAAATACTCAAGTCTACTGTCCCTTGGAGCTGTGAAAAAATCAAACTTCTAAGCCAACGCAATCAAAAGACATTTTTTTGAAAATTTTCGACATTCGCAAGGGAATCAAAACCTACAGGGTACTTCCCGTGAACTCAGAATCTTAAAATTTGGTACGATGCAACGTATTATAGCACAGATAAAGGAAACATTGGGAAAAGCATAAATTTTTAGTTTCATCATGTACAAACCAGTGCTCAACCCAAATGAGTTCCGTGTTTGCCATAACACATTTCTGTCCTAAGTCATAAGCCTTTTCTAAGTCCATAAACGCACAAAAAACTTTCAGATTTTTTGCCGAAAACTTTTTCGTAATCATGCGCATGGAATAGACTTGATCCGTACACCTTATCCCCTTTCTAAATCCGCCTTGCACATCCCAAATTTTTCATTTTGATTTATAACTCTTTCAATTAACACCTTAGCATATGGTTTACCCACAATGCTTAGCAAGCTGATACCACGGTCGTTTTTAGTCCTATGTGACCGCATTCCCTTATATATTAGGACTATGACGGCTTTGCACTAGTCTTTCGGTATCCGCTTCAGTTCCGTACGTAAATTAAACAAGGTGTACAGCAGGCCTGCCACCACACCCTCTCCAGCCCTTAGCATTTCGAGTGATACTCTATCATATACGGCTGCCTTACCTGCTTTCATGCTTTTCATTGCTTTCATTATTTCATTTACACTTATCTCCCTACCTCTCTTCACCTCCTTCGGAATTTATTTTTCACTTAATTCAGATGACACTTCACTTATAAACACGCTTTCAAAGTATTACTTCCATCTCTTTAAATTTGAAACTTCATCATTCAGCATTCAGCCATTCTCGTTTCGTCGTAAAGCATTCACTATAGGCTGTTTTGAATAGTAGTATCTTATTTTCTTTAATAATATTGCAAACAAAGTAAACAACTAAGATGAGTACTTGGGTGGTCTAACAGGGGTAGGGCCACGCGGCACGGATGGGCCGGCTCGAACCGGGGTCGTAACACGACCTCACAGAATACCACCGTAAAGAAGATGTTTACCTCTGCGTTGCGCTTGGTGAGTGCAGGTGAACGGAGGCCCACTTCCCCCCCCCCCCCCCTATATCAACATGATACCGGAATTAAAGAAAAGACTACCCCAGGAGGGTACCAGCACCCCTGGAGAAGCCCTCGGTGAGCATCCACGACCAAACTACTCCACTCCTGAGCGTGGGTGCTCAGGCTGCCCCACGTATTCTGGGGGGGGGGGGGGGGCAAAATTCCGCATATAAGGCCATGGCGACCCCTGTCACGCTATCCGCGAATTTTTGCAACATCAGAAGACTTCATTCCAACCTTTACG